AATTAAATAAAATAAATAATTTTATTATAATTAGAAATAATCATAAACAATTGTTCTTCATTGATTTCATGTATAATGATCTTCTGAACATAATTATTTTTATTATTAGATTTATTTATTATTCATCAATAAAAAAAAAAAAAAAAACAAGACATAATACTATTTATCTTTGTATCTAATTTTATTATTATTATTCTGAATGTTGAAAAACATGAAATCCATTAAAAGCATTTCCTGATCAATACTAACGTTCAAATCAATTTGCACAATATCGTATATTGGGATGCTTAATAATAATTCATATCAAAGAAATGATATAACCATTAATTTCTATAAATTTCAGAATTCAAAAAAAATTTTTCATGTCTCATAGAGTCTCATGAAATCTTCTAGATTGTCCGCTTCAAAATAGAAGAGGAGTGAGTGTTTTTGGAATAAATTTCTCTAGAAACGAGATAGAGACCTGTGGTTTTCACCATTGGAAAGAGGAGATCAAGACGCATCAAACCATATAATGTATATTGTTTCTGATAATTTTTGTATGGATTATCTGCACTGTTTTTCAAACGCAAACATTTTGCGTAAGGTTGCTGAGGTGAATTTTCAATTTTCTGCATTGCATTCGAACTACCAACCGCGAACCTACAAAACTATACAAGATCGAAATTTTTAAATGGAAGCACTTAGGAGTTATGAGCATTTTACCAAAGACTTTTTAGCCGATTTTTAGCGAATGTTGATCTTCTGATTATCATTTTCTGATGGTTAGAAACCTATTTTTAGCTCTGCAAAATAGAATAGCAACGTTTTTGTCCTTTTTTGAACTTTAAATTTGAATGAAATGACTCGTACATCGTTTTCTTAACGATTTAGTCACGCTATTCTTTGCACTGATTAGAATTTTCAGCTTGTCAAATATTTTTTAGTATTCTCCAGAGTAACTATGTACACGAACGATCTTTTTTGACAACGAATGATAAGATAAATGACAACAAGAATAGTTCAAAGAGTATGCGATCAGACGAAATCGTCGTCATCTTCATCGATTATCTCTTCCTCTATTTGTTCCGTGACATTGTTCGATTTCTTGAACGTATTTTCGGTGCTACATATATGGTAGAGATAGACAGTGACGGTTGTTGCATCCAAAGATGTCATCCTGTGCTGGGCCAGATTTCGAACTTTGCTCAGGCGAAAGTTGATCTTGTTATTGCACACGTAATTTTTCATATTAGCCCAGGCTAATTCGACTGGGTTCAACATACAATGCTTGGGAGGCAAGCTGCAAATGCTTTCATGAAGTCGTAAAATCTTCCGAAGAGGAACAATTGACTGTAAAATATTAATATTGTGTTCTGCTGTCGCCTCATTCACCACATGACGCTTCTTTGGTAGGCTATCAACGACTAGCTCAAACAGTTCTGCTTTGGTAGCCTTTACAGGAACAGAGACATTGTGACGTTTGAGCCAGTCGATGATTTCTTGGGTCCTATGGTATCTTCTGTTAATCGATTATACCATGGAGCATTGTCAATCACCAAGACAATCTTCGCACTTTTTCGTAGAAAGATATTTCATGTTAGAAAAAGAAAAAATAGATTCGAGAGCAACTACCAAGCTGTTTTCGTAGGAGAGATAAGGTTTGATCGATCCGTGTAACAAACTGTCTGAAGTCCTTACTATGATCTTCATCGTATTCGAAGATATCGATTGATGGCACATAAAAACCTGAATTCGTCATGAGAGCAGAGATGACGAGTCTCTTGCCTAAACTTTGTATTCTTATACATTTCTTTGTCATAAAAATTTGCCTTTGCCGTCTGTATGGCGTAGTCGATCGCTGTATGTCAGTCCAAACGAAACGCTTCTCTTCATTTTCGCTACACCAGGTCTCATCATGCCAAAAAATCTTGGTATCATTCGTACGTAGCTCGTCTATGGCTGCAAAGTATCATGCGCGAGCAGTCATAAAAAAAGGAGCATCAAGACGTACGACGATTTTAGACGTTCTCTTGTATTCAAAGCCAAGCTTCTTCATCCAGTGCCATAACGAGGTTTTCGAGCAGACCGGAAAGTCAGCATTGTCAGCCAAGATTCGAGAAAGTACTTTGTCAACGGTGAAATATATACGCTCCGCTAATGCGAGATGAACGTGATAGCTAAACAACTGATAGATATCGATACTTTTCCTTTCTGTCTTCTCACTTACGGAATATTCTCTTGTTCTTCTTCGGAAAGCATGATAGCTGGACAACTAGAATGCTCACGTTTGTGTGGTGGAATTGCAACAGGAATTGTGGTCTCGATGATAGTGATAGTAGAAGAGAATGTTGATCTTCCATGTCGAAGTTAACAAGCCCTCTGAAGTTCTTGATTTTCCTGGTTCTGTTTCGCCTCGTTAATCATCCTCTCTTTATTCGATATTCGAATTTCTTCTTCTCTCATCTCTTTTTTCAATCTTTCGACGAATGCCATTGAGATATCCAGCATGGATTTTAGGCGATTGTTGACATTATTCAGTGGTGTTACGGAATCATCCTTTTCACTCTCGACAAACTTGATCATATTGAATATCAGTTGTTTTATCTCTCGCAAAAACTCATAACTTTTAGGCATATTGCTGACAAATACCCTTTCAAACAGAGTAAGTAAAGAGAATTACTAAAATGGGGAAATTCATACACTAAAGTACAAATATCCGTTCAATCGTAACAGATGAGTGTTCAAACACCTTCTGATCAATTCTAGCAGTAGATCACACGTGATTGTGTGGCATAGTTCTAACATAATGCCCTCTTAACTGATCATATGGTTAGAGGATACTTTCAACTGAACTGGAGGTGTCGCTCGTACACATAGTCACTCTAGAGAATGCTAAAAAATATCTGACAAGCTAAAAATTCTAATCAGTGCAGAGAATAGCGTGACTAAATCGTTAAGAAAACGATGTACGAATCATTTCATTCAAATTTAAAGTTCAAAAAAGGACAAAAACGTTGCTATTCTATTTTGCAGAGCCAAAACTAAGTTTCTAACCATCAGAAAATGGTAACCAGAAGATCAGTATTCGCTAAAAATCGGCTAAAAAGCCTTTGGTAAAATGCTCATAATTCCTAAGTGATCATGTAGATCCTAATGATTTATAATTACTCTGAGAAGAGTTCGTACAATTATAGCTCGTTCAAAAAGTCCGTGCGTGTGACTATTTTTTGAATAACTTTTGCTAGGAACAAGATAGAGATCTGCGGTTTTCGCCGTTCGATAGCCAAGGCGAAGAAGCATCTTTTCTTTAGCAAAGTCTTTTCTGAGGAGCAATCTCGAAGTCGGTTTCTCATAGGATCTTTGGAAAACTAACTTGGATTTCTCAAAACTCACATGGAAGCCTTTTGATTTTTTTGCATATTTGGAATCTCCATTAAAAACTGAGTCAACCCATATATGTTTAGAACGTTTTCGAGACACTTTTTTTTCGTCGAAACCCTATGCCCGAGGGTCATGTCAATAAATAAAGTTAGTCAAAAGGTTACTTGGACAGTGGAAAGCAACTTTAGAAGTTGTAAAATACTACTAGAGCACCAAATGACGAAAGACTAAGCGATAAAAACGGCGTTTTGACTGACTTTATTTATTGACATGACCCTCGGGCATAGGGTTTCGACGAAAAAAAAGTGTCTCGAAAACGTTCTAAACATATATGGATTGACTCAGTTTTTAATGGAGATTCCAAATATGCAAAAAAATCAAAAGGCTTCCATGTGAGTTTTGAGAAATCCAAGTTAGTTTTCCAAAGATCCTATGAGAAATCGACTTCGAGATTGCTCCTCAGAAAAGACTTTGCTAGTGAAAAGATGCTCCTTCGCCTTGGCTATCGAACGGCGAAAACCGCAGGTCTCTATCTTGTTCCTAGCAAAAGTTATTCAAAAAATAGTCACACGCACGGACTTTTTGAACGAGCTATAGCTTACTACTGCCAAGATACTGCATTTTTATGATATTTTTTCAATTAAAGCTGTCGTACCTCAAGAACTCTGGAAAAAAAACTGATTTTTGAATTTTAACTTAAAATTTTGCATAGGGATGGGCTGTACTTCAACTTTGAAATATGAACATCAAATTTGTTGGTGCATATGAACAATACTCAAGACACGTTCTTACTATAGCTGTATCTTGATGTACAAAGGATGAAAATATCTGAAACTTTCACAATAAACCAGCCTCTTTTTTGGAGTATTCATACTTCAATAGAATCTACATGATGATACGTAGTCTCGAGTCAAAAGCGATGAATCAATTGGAGAACTTTCCTCGTCAGTTCAGTTAAGTTGAATTTCAAAACACAAACATCAAAATTACCAAAATCAATCGAAAATTTTTCGATCGTTCTATTTATGTAACATGTTGATCAATTTCGGATATACTTTTTCCACTGAGAATAATTTTTATACTTGGTCTTAACAAGATCAATTGTCATTTATTGTTTTAAATAATAAATTTTTTATTTCTCTATGAAATTATAAAATCAAAAAATTTTGATATTCAATATAAATATTCCTTTTAATTTTTTTTTAGTTCGAAATAAATTTATGATTAGTCAATTCGATTATCCAATGAGATTCATCAAGTCTTCAATTATCGTTCTATGTATGAAAAAAAATATATATAGCGTGATATGAGTGTACGAGTATTAGTACAGTTTAAGCACACATGTGCCTTCATCTGGATTCTGATTAATATACGCAATTCGCTAACAGTATCTGTTTCAAAGTTGTAATCAGACCGATTGTTTCTCGGACTAAAAAATTGTCTAATTAAATCGATTTTCTCCCTGAAAAGAAAAAACGTCTTTAGAACAGATTTTAGTATTTTTATCAGATACTAGAATTAAGTTAGATTTTTAATTCATAGAAAAAAACACTATATCATCATGTATAGAATGTTTGTAACATATTATTAAACTCTCAAATTGTTTGTTTTTATAGATTTTTATTTTGTTAATAAAAATGTCACATCAACTATGTCAAAATTGTGGTTCAAATCAATTCGAACATATTGATGGACGTCTCTATTGTGTTATATGTCAATCACAAAATATATCATTACAAATACATGTTTCATTTGCTAATGAAGGTAATGCACAATTAGGTCGTCGTGTACCTAATCAAACACAAGTATCATCAAAATTTGATGAAACAATACCAGAAATTAAAATTTTTGAAGATAATAAAATAATATCACATTCAATAGATCAAACAGATGAAATAATATTACCAATACAACATATATCTGTTGATGATAATGAACAATTATTATTAGAACAACATGTTTGGAGTTCATATGAAGTATATAGTTATATATTAAATAAACAAATTCAATCAATTATTGATTTAAATTATATAAAAAAAGAAAAACATAATGAATTTATTGAATGTACATTTATGCTTTATTTAAGATATTTATCTTCTAATGGAATACTTGATACGAATAAACAAAGAATATTAATAAAACAAGAAGAAAGAAGATTAAAAACAAATATTCTATCGAAATTAATTTATACAGAACGATATGATCAATTTGCTAAATTAAATACACATATTTTACAAAAAAAATTATGTATACTTAATCTTGATATTCTTATTGGTTTGATTCATTGGTAAGAAAAAAAAAAAAAACTCAAAAGAAACAGATCTTACGAAGGAAACTTTTCAGATATCAAATCGCTTTTCAACCAAGACGATATTCATTTGCTAGAATGGTTTAGTTTTTCAAGTCTTCATTCTTGAGATATCGAAAATTGACTTTTTACTTTTACAGATGAGAGAATTTCGAATATTCAATTTTTCAGAATAAGAGATAATAGAAAAGTTGTAACTTGTTTAATCAACTAATCTCATTGAGAACTTTATTCATGTAAAGTTTGAAGTCGAAAGTCGACTTTCTACATGACCATAGGTTTTTATTGAAAAAATCTAGTAAAATATTGATATCTGAAGAACAGTGCCTCGAAAAATCAGACCATTCTAGACTTTTCTATTATTCATCAAATAAACATCGTCTCGGGTAACAAGCAATTTGATATCGAGAGAGATTCCCTTATTAGTTAGATCTTCAATAGTCGTCTTATCTTTACCTTTACCTTTATTTTTTTATTAAAATAAAGATTTGAAAAACTGAGTTCGAGAATCGATTGCATCATTTATAACTAAAACTGTTCATTTCCGAACAAAGGATTCGAGTAGAGAGCTGCACCGAGTTTTCTGGACCCGGTCAAAGAATCGTGAGCCATTCTATCATCTTAAATACTGAATCATTATTTGGATATGGATTTTGTAGGGAAATGTTTGCTTTTTCAATCCATGTGCTTAGAAATACACAACGACCATTCATAACCAAAATTTTTTAAATAAAAATATCCGGGTCCAGAGTTTCGGGTCTGGTCGGGTCCGGGTCTGGACCCAGACCTTTTTATTTAAAAAATTTTGGTTATAAATGGTCGTTGTGTATTTCTAAGTACATAGATTGAAAGAGCAAACATTTCTCTACAAAATCCATGTTCAAATAATGATTCAGGATTTAAGATGATAGAATGGTTCACAATTCTTTGATCGGGTCCAGAAAACCCGGTGCAGCTCTCTAGATTTGAGACTTTATGTGATCGTAAATTTTCCAGTTTAGTTACAACCACTACTAATAGCTTTCAAAAGACCTATATCGTCAAAAATCATTTACTTTTTAATTGATTAATCGATAAATTTTTAAATAAAATATTAGACTATCATAAAAATATCTGGCATGAAAGGTGATTGATTATTAATAATAACAAATAGCAATAATTGATCTAAATTTACAACTCTCGAGACTTATATTAATCACTAGTAGATCGCTTCATCCATTGATATAATACAGCAAGCTCTAAAGATTTCTACTTCTTGATGATAGTGAATGTTTTATTTTCAAAATTATCGATTTTATAATTTCGACATTTCTAAGACGGAATGCAGCTTGTCCAAATGTAACGCTGTGACATTTTGACAAATTGCTTTGCAGTTATCTCGAAAGGCATAAGGTCGTTCAAACGTCATTCGACGCAGCTCATGATACTCTATTCATGTTGCAAGAACGACCTAGTTTGACTGAACTCTCGCGTTTCTAGAAAGGTTTTATCATCGCATAACACTGTGACAAAAAAGGACCCTTTTTCTCTAGGGCTGCTTATGAAACTCGAATTTTTTGACAAATTATTTCTTTAAATGAAATGCTTATGGTGCCAGTTTTGTAGAGAATTGAATGAGCTTTCAAGAAGTAAAAAATAATTTTTCTAAACTATTTTTGCTTAGATAAAAAATGCAAAAAACAAACGTAACGCTGTGACATGTTTTTTTGTCGATCAAATTTGAAGCACTTAACATGCTTAAAAATATTTAATGTTCACATATATTGATCACTGCCGTACATATATCGTTCTGTAAAAATATCAAGCTGCTACATCGACATGGAAGTTCAATAATTGTACAGTAAGTTAGAAACTGTACAAGAGGTTAGAAGTTGCTCTTAGGAATGAGAGTAAAAACTGAATAGGCCATTTTGTAGAGAATTAAATTCTGCATCGAATGGTATATTACTCTGCATTTTAGTTTTAAATTCCTTGGTTAGAAAATTGAAAATACGATTTTTGAAAACTTTAAAACCCGGTTTTCGATGCCAAAACCCAATTCGTTTAAGAAAAATGTCCAAATTCATAATCAGTGTAAAACACTGTACCATAAAATGCGCTTAGATGTGCCCATATCGAAAAAAAACATTTTTTAAACTGGTTACGTGGACAAGCCGAATGATGAAAAAATAGGCTTTTTTTTAAAATTTTGTAACCGATCTATAGGGAGTAATGGGTTAACATACAATTTAACTAAAATAGATTCTTTTCGTCAATACACTAGAAGAACCTATTGTATCATAGCTTTGATTAATCTTTACATTTTGTGTATAAAATTATTTTACAAAGAAATGTCGTTTTCTTCTCAATAGTGCTTGTACATTAATTAATTGTCCAATAACAATAAAACAATTAATTGAATGGATAAATACAAATAAACTTCCATATTATAATATAAAAAATTATTTACCTAAATGGATGCGTGCAACAGGACGTGATCGATTTAATCTTGAAAAAATGAATATACATTCGGGAAATTTATTTTTTTATTATAATAATTTTATTCAACCAATTATAAAACCTTATATATCTCAATGTATATGTCAATCATTAACATATTTCTATGAAATACTTTTACATTATTGTGAAATTTTTTGTCAACAAATTTATTTTCCATTTGATAATTATACACGTATATTATTTGAATCAATATGTCGAAGAATTCTTGAAATAAAATTAACTGGTCATCGTTTTATTTCAACATCATTTGATATAGAATTAACAGCAATATCAATAATAATAATTATTATTTTACTTCGATTTATTAATGATAATTTACTTGATGAATTTATTCAACATATAAATAAAATAAAAGAAAATCAACAATTATTTTCATATTCATTATGGTTAAAAAATTTAAATTATTTAATTTATTTACAATCTATTCGTTATTATCAATTTTATGGACGATCATCAATATTATTAGAAACAATAACAGATAATCATTCAAAATTAAGATATATGAAAAATTTATCAAAAATATTTAATCATAATATTGAATTAAATTATGAAAAAAATTTTGAAAAAATTTATGAAAAAGAAAAACAAATTCAACAAATTTTAATTGAAAATTCAAAACCAGGATCATTAATTTATGTAATAAAAACAAAAGAATTTTTTCTAAAAGAATTTCAAAATTTACCTTCAAGTAAGTTTAATAAAACAAAAAAAATTCAGGTTTTTTTTTTTCTTCAGATCTTTACAGATGATAGAAATTAAATATCACTAACATAATATGATTTTTCTATTAGGAAAAGTATAAAAACTTACATCGACAATATGTTTGTCATTAAAATCTTTTTGTTTTTGATTCAATCATTTAATATTTCTATTAAAAATAATAACATGGTATATACACGCCTTTTTTCTTCATTACTTGCTAAAACTTCATAGAAGTATGATATAAATGAGATTTTGTAGAAGAAAAAAAAAACAAACTTATTTTTGTTAACTATGCTCATCTTCATATTATTCATAGGCATTATTTAAGAAAATTTAATCTTCATTAAATACATCTAATTATATATATATAGTATTACTAGTCTTGAATCTATTTTTAGTTTTATGCAGTAGAACTAGAAAACATAGAAACATATTATTATGATAATCATCATTTCTAACTGACACATATTGTCAGTATATATATGTATATTGTGAAAACAACGACGAAAATGTCAATCTATATATAACAGACATCTGTCATTCAAACAAAAAAAAAACAAAACAAAAAAAAGCTTTCCTACTATTAATTTATTTATGAATGAAACAAAATGAATTAACTCAATCATTACTGACAAATCGTAGTATATCAAATAAATGATTATTGTTAATAAAAGTTATTAAACACTTTTAACATATTCATGATTACACTATTCCAATGAGATTTGAGTTTGATATTAAGGCCTACCTTCCCTTAAAAAAAAAAAAAGTCACTTTTCATCAGAATGATCGAAATTAAGATAAATGCAGAGAAAGAGATAGCTCATCATCCTCGATTCAAAAACAAAAATCTTTTTCATTTTTTCTCGTTTTATAGGTTTATTGAACTTGTTAGCCCTCTTCTCTGCTTGAAAGATAAGAGTTTCTAAAAAAGGACTCTCGATAGTATTGCATTCTGGCATGCTCTTTCAAACGTATATAGACCAGGGAGAATTTTTGGAGGCAAAATGAGCTTTTTTTTTTTGACCCTTGTTTGATGGATATCTCCCTCACAGACTATAGTATAGGACTGAAAATTTCATGCGATTTTAGCGTACCTAGTCTTAGATTGATTTTTGAGGAGCGGGATCTTAAATTTGTCTATCGATTGGACTATTGATAAAGTATATAGGAATTTATTTTTGATAGAAAGATCAAAAAGGTTTCTTTCTGTATAAGAAATAATGGGAAAGTTGCAACTCGTCACGATTTTTCTTGTCTTGGTTTCGTAACAAATTGACAGTACGAAAGTCCGTAACAGAGGTTTCGTAACGACAGAATCAGGGCTTTCGTAACAAAAAATCAGAGCTATCGTAACGAATTTTACAGGGTGATCGTAACCGGTGGTTTGATATGTGACTTCGTTACGATATCCCTAATTTTTGTTACGAAATCCCTGTTGGCTCGTTGCGAAAACTCTGAAACTGTTACGGACTCCCTGTAAATAACAGCTACGATTGCCCTGTAAATTTTGTTACGATATCCCTGTTTTCTCGTATATCCCTATTTTTAGCGTTACGAAAGCCCTGTTTTTTCTGAAAAATTCAACCCATCACGTGACGAGTTGCAACCTTCTCGAAATAATTTTAGTCAATTCGATGTTTATTGAAAATTTTATTTATATAAAACATAAATTTTCTTATTTAGATTCTCTATCAAATCTATTTGAATCAATTGTTAATACATATTCACCATCTCATTTTTCAATAGTTGATAAAAGTGAATTATATGAAACATTATTATCATTAATAAATGGTACAACTATAAATCAAATAGAAAATTTTTATTTACTTCATCAACGTTTTGATATTGCTTCATCATCAAATTTTCATTTAAATCATCTTATAATGACATTAACAAAATTTTCTTCAATACCATATAATCAAGATTATTATTCATTTTTATCAAAATTTTTAAAAATATTTAATTTTAATAATCAAAATATTCATCATTATTTTTATCAATCAACATTATTAAAACGTTTTAATTTAAAAAATATTTCTAAACAAATTGGAATGAAACAATATGGAATTGATCAATTACCAATTATATATGATCTAAAATTTGAACAAGAACAATCATTAATAAAAGAGCAAAAGAAATGCGAATGAGTTTGTTTTTTTGTTCTATATCATAGAAAAAAAAAGGATCATTGTTCATCATTTATTTTCAAAGACAAAAATAACTTATTAGATAATCTAATCACCACGCATAGATGCTTATTGCGTATTTTTTTTTTTTTGAACTAAATTAGCCAATCTGTTAATGCTCACTTTCTTATTATACACTGATCAAAGGAATGAAGGAAGAAAAGAATTCATTGTAATATTCTCTAGTCTTTTATTTATTAGACTTTTGTGTACTATGATTTTTTTTTTGCTCCATAGCACTACGTATATTAATTACAAGAAAAATAGTCATATATACGACATTAGGATGTTCCTATGTCTTTTTTCAATTTACCAATGATATGTATATTGTTATTGATAAAATCTATCTGCTTGACGTTGTTTTTTCTTCTTCTTTTCTTTCTATTGCCTTTAAGAATTGTTATTTGTTGTCAAACGATATGAATACACATGCGCATTAATACAAAAGAACGAGCAAGTAACACTTCGTTTGCTTGTCGCATTGCCAGTAATCCACGAATAAAAACATTTCCATCTTGATGAATTAAGCTTCTTCTTCTTCTTTTCTTTATCTGATGTAATCCATCATGAGTATATATTTTGCGTCTATTAATTTCCGTTCTTTCACAATCGTATCATTTACTTGAGGGAATATTTCATGTTCGTTTTTTTTTACAATTCACTATGGCATTGCATATGAATCTTCACGTATTTTCTTTTTAATTGCATCAAAATAGTATATTAATACAAATAAATATACGCCATTGATCGATTTTTAGTTCTTTGTTGTCATTCTTTTTTTTATTAGTCACCTATGCTTCGGTGGAAGTTAATTTTGCATTGTATGTGTATAAGTGCGGTTCTCTTTATCAATTATTTTTTTTTGACAGATATGTTCAGTAGAAAATTTTTTGTTTTTTTAGATTATATTAATTAAATTCGTATTCTTAGTGAACATTAACAAAAAGTCTTGTTAATATTCCATGACTACAATTGTTGACGGTGAAAATACACCGAAAAAAAGGGTAATGTTTTTTTTTTTTTTTCAATTAAATTTATATCATATTCAATTGGTTTTTTTTTTTTCTTTTTATTAGACCAAATACGTGCACGATTGCACGATTTCGGGCGAATATTGTCGAGCACAAGATTGACTAGTACGTTATTTAAATACATATAATTTTTATCGATATTGTTCAAACAAATTTGATTGGTGTTTTATATCAACAAAAATTCGAGATTAGAAACAAAAAGAAAAAGAAATTCTATTAAATTCAATTGAACAAAATAAAATGCCTATGATACATGATCTTACTTATCCATCAGTAACAGAACTTCGTTATAAAACTCTTCGTTTTCTTATTACTGATAGTCCAGATGATGAAAATGTTCAATCATTTATTGAAGTATATATAATGAAAATGAAATCTTGTTTTTTTTTTGTTCTATATTTTTATTGTAATATTCTTTTCATAGACTTGTTTAAAATATGGTGTTACAGCATTAGTACGAGTTTCAGAAAAAACTTATGATTCAAAACCAATTGAAGAAGCTGGAATTAAATTTTATGTATGTTTTATTAAATTTCATATATTGATTTGTGTTTTTTTTTTTTTTTTGTAGCATCTTGAATATCCAGATGGAAGTGCACCTGATTCATTTGTTCGTAAGAAATGGTTGAATATAGTTAAAGAAAATAAAAATGGTTGTATAGCTGTACATTGTGTTCATGGTCTTGGCCGGTTTGTTGATTTAATAAAGATATATTTTTATTATTATTATTATTATTATTATAGATCACCTGTTCTTGTTGCCATGGCTTTCCGTGAAGCAGGTATGAATCCACAAGAATCAATTGATTTTGTTCGTAAACGTCGACGTGGTTCATTTAATGTACGTCAATTAGAATTTCTTCAAAATTATCATTCATGTCATCGTCTTCTTAATAAACATGTCGGTTGTATTATTATTTAATAATATGATTTTTTCTTTTTACTGTTTGTATTTTCTCATGTATACTTTGTGTTTTTATTATTTTTTTTTTCTCTCTCTCTCTTTTGATTGATAGATAAAACAATTCTATTCAACAAATTGTTTTATATGAATGTAGTTGGATTCTTTTTTTTTCTTCTTTATTTCGTTAATTCATAAAATTTATGATAAATATTTTCAATAATAAATTGTCTATTACTAAAAAAAAACACACACACACCTCCGCCAAATCGTAACAAACATGATAGAAGTTGTTGATATACGACTAGAGACCATATGTCAACAATATCTTGCTATAGAAATGACAGATGGCCAATAAAGAATAGACTTCTTAGTATTTTCGATATTTCTCTCAGTAGCCTTTTAACATAAGTGCACAATTGTTGTTGTTTTTTTTGATAGAATCATGATTGGATTCTCTACTAATTTGTATCTTTCACTCAAACGGAACATATATCTTATTTGTTGAGACTCAATGAAATGAATAGATTTATAATGAGTCATTTTCTTTGTAAAATACTTTTGTCAATCTTTTTCTTAATCATACAAGAGCTTCAATCAGAAACTAACTCTAATGAATTTTTCAGATGAATCGAAGACTTAATCTTTCGAGTAAATAACGATTATTGTTAATCGATTAGACAGAAACTGTCATCATTTCTTTCGAACTTTGTATATATGACCATGTTTTGGTATTCGTGTACTTTTAACCTTATAGAAGAGAACGTTATTTTTTGAAAGAAGTAAATTATAGAGAGATATTTCTTCTAGATAATGAAGATAATTAATATTTCTTTATGAGTAATATCAAAAGCAAAAGAATATTAAAGATGGTCATATAAACAAAGTTTCAAAAGAATTATGACAATTTATATCTTATCAATTAACAATAATGATTCATTTGTTTAAATAATTATAGCTTCGATTCTTCTGAAGATTCCATTAGAGATAGTTTCTGATTAAGATATTGTATGATGATTAAAAGTTTGGTATGATCATTCACAAAGATGAATGCAAAAACTGTAATAAAGAAAAAAGAATTTTGAACGTGACATATTGTTGAATCTATTCGTTTCATTGAGTCTAAATAAATAAGGTATGCTGTCTTGTTTAAGTGAAAGGAGCAAATTTCTAGAGAATCGCACTTTTCTTATGTTTGAAAAGGTGCTGAGAAGTATCCAAAATACAGAGAGATCTATTCTTTATAGATCACCTATTATATGAACTATTTATTTCATTTCTAGAAAATTAAGTAAAAGAATAGTGAAGAAATGTGTCTTAAAATATAAAGAATAAAACAATCTTCCTATGATTAATAACAGTAATCACATCGTGTTGTACATATCGTACGACTAAAAACAATATTAGTACATAAAATAATTTCATGTAATGATATATGATTAGATGTCTATGTTAAGTACCATAGAAAAACGTTATTTACAAAACTAATATAAATATCATTTGTTTTTGTCTGGTCGATTTCAATTATTATTAATGTCACTATTAATTTTAATTTATATTTCATGAGAAAAACAAACATATCATTAAAAGAGTAGCGTGGATATGAATGAAAAGGATGCTTCTCATAAATCAAAATATACAATTATTTATAAGTACTACTTTCATATATATATGATTTAATGAAAAACTTTTTTTTCTTCTTTATTTTATTGTTTTTGTGAATATATACTCAGAAAATAAATATTATCAATAGACAATATTGATTATTTATAATTATTATAAAATTATGATACAATATGAATTTCAATGAGAAATATAATTTTTTTTTGTTTTTTGTTGAGATACAGTTAGGAAATCGATACTAATAAATAAAAGATATTAGAGTATTTTTTTTTAGATCATAATAAATGATGGAAAAGTCTTTGAACAAAAAAAAAAATGTCAATATTTATATCTCAATAAGAGAACATTGGATTGATTTGTTTTTGTCTAAAAGAGCAAAGCCTGAAGAGGATCTATATATAAAAGGAGAATTTTTTTATCCTACGAATCGATGGTGTATGAGAGCACTTGTAAGACTCATATTTAACAAGCTTGATAGCCCTCAAAAATATTTATTTGACAATGAATATTAGGTCAAGATGTAAACAAACTATACTGTTCGATAAAGAGAACTATTCGACCTCAGTAATATATTTGGAAAAATTACTACTGATTCTGTAAAAATTTTCTGAAGGCAATATTTGTTTTTAATTTATAATTTTAACCAAATTTATATTTCATTAATAGAAACATAACACGAGAAAGAATTTTTCGATTAATACACATAATCAAAACTCAACTCTTATATTGCAAAGACATTTTCACCATGTTTTTATATTGAAATTTTATTATGATAAATCGAAATTAAAAATTCTAATTATATTAACCTATATTAATAATCAAACATTATCTTTTTAAATACAAAAAAAAAATTTTCTACTAAATCTGGTTTTCAAGTGTTAAGAAATATGTCTCGATACTTCACCAAGGACTTGTATTCAACTTAGTACATCTCAAATATTGACATAATTTGTATTACTTTATAATAACAATTACTACTTACACTGTAATGAATTACTAATAAAGCTATTTAATCATCCATGATGATATAACAGATTATGATTACATCGTTTTTTCGAAGTAACTCCAATTATACAGATAAATACATAGTTATATGTAGAAGATACTTATTTGTTTTATCAGGTGTTTATCTTCTGTCATTCTAATGTTTGATCTATTCATTGTGTCAGCCTATACAGCTATTTGTATAAAATATTTGCACAAAAAAAAAAGAGAATTTTTGTTGTTCTTTTCTAGAGGTTTTATGCTAGATTACACACTCCTAATGTGTATAGTTTTCTTTTTTGTTGACAATTACTTGACAGCTAGAAAAACAAATATATGTTCATATTAAATTCTTAAATTAAACCTATGAAAATAAACGAGCATCGTGAAATATGGAATAAACATTCTTATGAAGATTTTCTATTCATAATATCAACAAATTAAAATATAAATAAACTTCGTTGAATATTGATAAGTATTATAGTTGTTCATATGACGTCAATGTCAAAGAAAAAATAAAGGAATATTCATTGTAATAATAACATAAAACTTAAAGAAATAAATGAAAAACAAAAACATCAACAAGCTAAAGTAATGTAAGATTCTTTAACTATCTTATTCCGACTTGTTTTAATGGATTTTCACAATAACTAACATTCGTAAGCAGATAATTACTTACTATAGACTAGTAAAACTTTTCCTGCAATAGAAAATCTCCCTTTCGGAGGAATGACAAATTAGACGTAATAGAAGACTTTCCTTAAATAATTCATTTGTTGCAACATTTAAACTTTAAATAATATATTTACATCAAAATATGTCTCATTATATTAAGATTGAAGTCAATATTATTTCTAAACTTTTCTTTTTCTAAATTCTCCAACTAGATTGAATTTTTTGCGAAAAATTCTTTATATTAAAAATTATGAAAATAAAAACCCTAGGGTCTTCTATTGTTTGAAGAGATCTAATACTAATAAACAATTTATCAATGATAGATATACCTAATAATAAGCAATATTATTAACGTCAACAGAATTCGAATAATTTTTAAATTTTAATAAATTATTGATTGTCTATGAAATAAAAAATGATAGGGGAACTGATTGTATTTAGATTTTCTATCTAGAATCAATTTATCAAATCAATAGATCAATAATTATTTAAAATTTTCCTATCAACTTTTATACATAATAATTTTATTCTTCTTTATAAATTATTGATTACTTTTTTATCTATATATTTATCATGATTTTTCTTTCCACATTGTCATTTTTAACGCTAAATATATATATATATATATCATATTATAGCAAGTTGTTAATAGTACAGGAAATATATGTAGATTCTGTTAGCATCGTTCATTATCAATCGGAAATAAAAGTTAATATAATAATGATAATGTATGTATTTTTTTTGTAGAATACTTGAAAGATTTTATTTTGAATATTTTGTTTTTGTTTCTACATGTTTACAAAAGGTTAGTGTGACTTATTATATGTAATGTATTACGATTAAAAGCACATCAAGCAGATCAAAAAAAAAACAAGTCTTGTCACTGTATATACTAATCTATAATATAACGTCTGGACAGACGAATGATGTGTGGAGATGTTAGTTTATTCTCTCATCAATTCGTCGCAGAACTCTTTTTTTTTTTCTTGCTTTTATATGGCCTTATTCTCATAAATAATACGATATACATTAGACATACAAAGATATCTTGCTCGTTTGTCTCGTATGTATCCTTAGAGAAACAAAGTAATCAAGCAAAAAAAAAATTGGTCGTATGAATATAGTGGTATCTTTCTCTGTCGTATTTTATCTATTTTATTTCTTATGAGACAATTCTTTCCCGACAAATATTGTTCTACCAAAATGACTTTTTTTTTTTTTTTTTTTTTTGTCTACATATTTAATCTATTTTTAACTATCTGTCTAGTTTATTATTGATATATAATAATAATAATAATAAAACTAATCTAGTTCTAGTAAAAGTATTCAGTAAATAAAATATTATTAGTATTGATTAATAGTATTGTTGTTATTTTTGTGAGAAAAGAAACACTCTCAGTGTTGTTTTCTAATAATGATATTGTTATATAATAGAGTATACAGATATCATATGTTTCTATGTTTTTTTCTTTTTTTTCCTCTTGAATGTCGCCGATAATCTAAACCTTTAAGTAGTATCAGCAGTAAACGTTTAGGACCTTATAACTACTATTATTTCTCGTTATATTCTATAGCATCCGTTTATCATTGAAACTTTTTTCTTGTCATCGAGTTGATGCTATATATTCATGATTCTTCTAGACTGATCAAAATAGAATGTATTGAATAAAAAAAAAAAAAAAGGTAAGACATTTATGTGTTGTTTAATTGTAGATTCAAATGATCACATAATAATAATGATTATAACATAAATCATCATCATTAATTAATCAATATATATAAATAAAATGGCCGATGAACAAATGATGGGTGCTGAAGCTAATGATATTCAGTTTTTACGCACGGTAATAGAATATTTATTTTGATTAATAAGGATTTATTATAATACAATTTTAGGAAGATCATATATGTTTAAGTTGTGTGCCTGTATCAAGTGTTAAACGAATGGCATTATCAGGTGAAGCATTTGGAAATCGAATGTGTTATCTTGAAGATATATCAAATGAGGTAGAATATATTTTTTATTATCATAGAAGAAGAAGAAGAAGAAGAAGAAGAAAATTTATCACAATTTTTATATTCTATTAGGCCTGCTGTCCTGATGTAGCATCATGTGTATTTGCACTTGAACAAGCTGTATCAGTACGCGCTTTACAAGAAATGGTTAATACAACTTCAACTGAACAAGTAATCATTTAAAAGATTTTAAAAATATGAATAAAGAAAAAGTTTTTATTCTCAGTCATCAGCAAATCAAGGTGGACAAACATTTCGAACATTATTATATGGTCATGCAGTTCTTCTTCGACATTATCGTAGTCAAATGGTAAGATTTTCTTTTTTTTTTTTAATTTAAATTTTCGTTCTCTCTAAAAATTGATCTTGTTTCCGATGCATTCAAATTACATGATATGTTGAAGATGTAGTAGTGGTAGAAAAGGCTATGCTAAAATTATGACCTTTTCGAGAGATAATTCAACAAACGCTAATCAAAATTCTTTATGCATTTCCATTGTATAGACTTAGTTCTTTTCTATTGGAAAGGTCATAACGAACTGAAGTATTTTTTTTTGTATGTAGAGAAAAAGAAGGATGATAATAAAATAGAAAACTCTTAAAAATTGGTCAGCAATTAATAGAAACATCTCAATTTTGAGAGGAACTTAACAAGGGAAAAAAAATATGTATATATATTGTTTTTTAGTATTTGAGTTGTTTATCAACTAGTACATCCAATGATAAACTTGCTTTTGATGTCGGCTTAAAAGAAGACGCACAAGGTAAAATAAAAATGATAAATATGTAATAGAATAAAATTATTTTTCTTTAGGTGAATCTTGTTGGTGGACAATTCATCCAGCATCAAAACAACGAAGTGAAGGTGAAAAAGTACGCTTTAATGATGATGTTATATTAGTTTCAGTTTTTTCTGAACGTTATCTTGTAAGAAAATTTTCTATGAAAGAAAAATATTTTATCTTTGTTTTTTTTCTTAGCATGCCTATACGACAACAACTGACCGTGGTCGAGTTAATGCATCATTTCGTCAACAAGTATGGAGTCTTGTACCAATATCTAGTGGTGTAGCACGTGTCAAAAATCCAGGTTTTTAAAAAAAAACTGATATTATTCAGTATATTGAATATCTTTATTGAAACAAAAAAAAAAAAATTAGGATTTGTTCTTGGTGGTGATGTTCTACGATTAATGCATGGTAATATGGATCATTGTATTACAGCACTACCACCATCAGAATTACAAGTAGTCGATGATTCTGGAAGGTAGTAGATAATTTATTTTTGTATAAAATATTATTCATTTTAAAAATCGATCGACAAAGTTCTACAAGAATATTGAGAGAATAGATGAGTAAATTATGCTTCAAAATTCTATAAAAATATATTACTGATAAAAGCATTGAGTAATATCAGACTCGAGTTAAATTATGAAAAATAATAGTTGAGCTTGGTCTAGGTTGGCTAGACGTTTTTTTTTTCAGGATTTCATTGGAAAACTCAATTAAGTACTAGCACAGAAGATATAGGGTATGAGGTATTTTGAATGATTTTTTTTCATTTAAAAGATCTATAAGAGAGTGTGGAAAAGTTATATATCGTACGACCTTTTCTTCTATTTCACCAATTTTTCTTTATTGACATCAGACAACAATATTATACTGAGTGCATTTTCTAATATAGATTGCAGATTGTATACATAAGAACAAGAAAAAGTTCTATCGCATAATTGTATTATCTCAATTACATAATATCGGTGAAATATTAAGGACATATCCTTTGTTTACAACTACGAAATAAAAAAAAAGAGAAATGATCGATACCAGAGTTCAATTCGGATTTGATCCATGTTGGACACTGAGCGGAGAGACGTAATCAGAAAAAAAACCATTGTACAGGGTATGTCAAAATTATAGACCCCCCTTTGTCATCGAATTTTTTCTCTGAAAACGAGCTGCTGAATCAAATGTAAGTAGTGATTTCGATAGCTCTCGAAGTTCTCTATCGATTGCACTATATTGGAAAATTTTAAAGATGACTTCACCAGGAGATTTTTTGAAAATGCGTGAGACGCCATTTTTTGACTTTTGAACGATTTATCAGACATCGTTTCCAATGTATCCATCTGATAGAGCTGAAAATTCTGAGCAAAATGAGTGGTCGCACGACTCTCCGCGATTTTCCGGTCAGAAGTTATAAGTATGTCAAAAGTAAAAAAAAACGTTTTTTTAGCTGATTTTCCACAATTTTTGATGTTTTTTGCGGTTTTTCTGACTTTTGACCAGAAAATCGTGGAGAGTCGTGCGACCACTCATTTTGCTCAGAATTTTCAGCTCTATCAGATGGATACATTGGAAACGATGTCTGATAAATCGTTCAAAAGTCAAAAGGTGGCGTCTCACGCATTTTCAAAAAATCTCCTGGTGAAGTCATCTTTGAAATTTTCCAATATAGTGCAATCGATAGAGAACTTCGAGAGCTATCGAAATCACTACTTACATTTGATTCAGCAGCTCGTTTTCAGAGAAAAAATTCGATGACAAAGTGGGGGGGTCTATAATTTTGACATATCCTGTAGAAGAATTTCAGTCTTCTAAACAGGTCTGTAAACTGAGGCGAAGACCTTCTCATAGAGAGAACTCAACCGTGGATAGAGAGGCTAAGCTCAATGAACAAGTTTAATTTTCAAGATATTCAATACAAAAAAATCTCTCAAATTTTCTTTTATCTATTTTAGTTTATTTATCAAAAGTGGTGCTGCTTGTCAACAAGCTCGATCATTATGGCGTATTGAATGTTTTAAAGTCAAGTAGGATATATAAAAATAATAAAGATAATACAATTTACTTTTGTTTTTGGCTTTCTCAGATGGTACAGTGGCTTTGTTGGTTGGAGTTCATTAATTCGACTTCGACATATTACATCTGGCCTTTATTTAGCTGTTATCAGTGATGAAAATGGTAAAAGATACTTTTTTTTCTTTTTATTTTTGATTTTTACAAAATAAATTTCAGGTCCAAAAGTAACTCGTATACCAAAGAAGAATGCAAGTCCTATGGCAATAACATTTGAAATGAAAATGTCAAAAGTAAATAAAAGAGAAAAAAAAGAAAGGAAATTTTTTTTTTTGTTTTTTCATTAGGAAAAACAAGCCGAAGAAAATCAAGAAGAAGATAATTTAGGTGTACCAACAATAAAATATGGTGAAACAATTGTTTTTATACGTCATGTTGATTCTGATCTATGGATTAGTTATGAAACACTTGAATTAACTATAAAAGGAATTGGAAAAGTTGAAGAAAAACGAGTAATAAAATAAACAAATTATATTTTTTGTGTGTGTGTATGTCTTTATTTAATTAGATTATTCCAGTTATTGAAGGTCATATGGATGATTGTTTTCGACTTGTACGAGCTCAAGAACAAGAACAAAAAACTGCTTTAGTTATTCGTATATGTAATGCTATACTTGGAAGATTTAATCGATCTGAGTAAATAAAATAAAATAAATATGTTTTTTATTATTTTCTATTTTGAAAAATTTTTAAAGTTCAATACCATTTGATTCCGAAGCAATAAATCAATTATTAAGTAAAAGTGATGTTATACAAGCGCTTCTACATGATTTAATTGGTTTTTTTTCTCAACCATCATTATCACTTGATCATGAAGAACGACAATTACGTCTTAAAATATTACGAAATCGACAAGATTTATTTCAAGAAGAAGTAGAAAATTTTAATTTATATTTTATTATTTTCTTTTTTTTGTTTTTGTTTTGCAAAGGGAATGATTCGAATATTAATAGCAGCAATAAATTTTTTCAGTGAACGTCGAGATAAATCAACATTATTCGAAGGTGTTGAAGAAAAAATTGAAGATATTACAAATAAACTTTATGTTGTTTTGGCTGCATTAATTAAAGGTAATCGAACTAATTGTTCAAATTTTGCTCAAAGTGCACGACTTAATTGGCTTGTTAATCGTTTACAATCACAACAAGCATCAAGTGGAGGATTAGAAGTACTTCATAGTGTACTTGTTGATAGTCCAGAAGTATTAAATATGATTACAGAATCACATATACTTGCAAGTAAATAAAAATAAAAAATTGAATTATTTATGGTTATTCTCTCTATTGAATTTTTAGTTATTGGTTTACTTGATAGAAATGGTCGAGATCCAAAAGTACTTGATGTTCTTTGTTCACTTTGTGTTAATAATGGTGTTGCTGTTCGTGCTAATCAAAATCTTATTTGTGAAAATCTTTTACAAAGACAAGATCTTCTTTTAAATACTGCATTAGTTGATCATGTTACTTGGTAAATAAATAAATTTATTTTCAAAATAAATGCGGAAACTTCGGATTTAAATCCGAGAGTTATGTGTACTTCAAAAAGTGAATGAGACAGATGAGTCGTTCTAGAATATGAGGATATAAAAATTATTCTGGCAAACCTTATCTATAAACACTTGATTTCTATTGGCTACTGTTCAACCAATAGGATTTGGAGATGAATACAGCTCAGATTTGAACTGTTCACCTTGATTTACCCTAAGAAAGTCGTTTTTCCTATAACTTGATTTCTATTGGTTACTGTTCAACCAATGGGATTTCGAGGCGAATAGAGCACAGATTCGAGTTTTCCACCCCAGAAAAGCTCGAACTATCATCTTTGTGATCGAAAGATAGAGCTCTATTTGTGGATCAATTAGAGCGTGACAAAAACAGAACCGAATTCCGATTAATTATCTTTGCAATAGCTGAGTTGGCTTTCTTGTTTCCTTATGTTTTATATACCATTTTGTAGCTCGTAAAATTCTCTATCGAATGGTATATAATAGTTGGGGTTTTAGTCGACTATGATAGGAAAAGTCTTTTACGAAAGTGGGGATGGGTCGATCTTTCCATAGGGAAGGTGCAGGGAAAAACGAGTATTTTTGCAATAACTCAGGAAGGGCTCGGCCAATCCTTCTCATCTTTGAACTCGACCGAGATATTGTTAAGACTGAACTGTGTAGAAAATTTCATCGCGATCGGACTCTCCTTTCGAAAGTTATCGTGTTAACGGCCGGACGGCCGGACACACTGACCGATTCTAGAGTGTACTCACTTTTTGAGTACACAAAAAAAGAGAATTTATTGATAATGCAGAATCTTTTCCGAAATTTAACACAAAAATTTAGAGTTGAACAGATATGAATATGTACTCGAGGATTAAATACTCAAAATTTTCTAGACATAACAAGTTAATTTCTATAATAGTATGCAGCCATGCATTCGTAGCAGTAGGCATGCACCAAACTTGAACGTTCGAGCTCACTCTTGACTGCAATCATTTTCAGTCAGTTAATAAAAGTAAGTAGTAGTAAGCCAAAAGAGAAAAAACTATCATTACCAGACACTAACTTATGTCAATGTCGTATTTTGCATCATGCACGGATGAACTTACAATTAAAAAGAAAATTAATATTGGAGAGTGATCGTAAGAATATGTCATTAGGATACACTGAATCATTGCTGTGACTGTAACCGAGAAAACACTAGTATCAATGAAATAACATTTCTCGCTTTTTTCTTATCTCTGATAGCATATAGGAATAACGAAAACATCTCAAACTTTTATAAGAAATTTTATCGGTAAGGCAGCAATAAGTTAAGGGTCTGAACCATAGATGGAGCTGATCTAACGGCTTACTGCCGATCTATAGATAGTTACCAATTTAACTTTTTTACTTTTGTGTTCTTTCCATGGAGATTTTTGCAATATTCTTATTGACCCTAATTGAAGTTGTTCATTAAGTATATAATGAAGTTTTGTTGGAATTTGACGAAAACTTGAATGCGTTCGGTATAAACAATTCTATACTTTTTTTTTATTGCACATATTTAATCATATCTAGAAATGGTAATAGCGATCCGGTGCTGGTATCGATTTTAAGCCGGTCGATCTATCAGTTTCCCTTTGTTAGCCGGTATAAAGAAAGATTTAGCTTATTTCTCATTAAAAGAAGTTAAAATCTTACTAGACCAGTGTCATAATTCATTTCGAATATACAAATATTATTTCCATAAAAACAAACGTTTTTTTTTTCTTCTTCTTTAGTATGCGTCCAAATATTGTTGTTGGAGTTGAAGATGGTGAATCAATGTATAAAAAATGGTATTTTGAAGTTATTATTGATCATATAGAACAAGTAACACATGTTCAACCACATATTCGTATTGGTTGGGCAACAACACATTTTCAACCATCACCTGGTCATGGTGATGGATTTTCATCAAATGGTATTGGTGATAATACATATTCATATGGTTTTGATGGTCAAAATATTTGGTTTGCTGGTCGTGCATATAATGTATCAAATAATGATATAAAACAAAATGGATTAAAAAAAAATGATGTTATTGGATGTTTATTAGATTTAGATATACCTGAAATGTGGTTTTCATTAAATGGTTTACCTGTTAAAGGTCTTATAAGAGAATTTAATTTAAATGGCATGTTTTATCCAGTTATATCTTTATCATCTCGTGTCAGGTTAGATAAAATACAAAAGGAATAAATTTTGCTTTTGAATCATTTCTTTTTGTACTTAGTTGTCGATTTATATTTGGTGGTGAACATGGTCGTTTTACGCATCGACCACCTGAAAGCGTAGCACCAATTTATGAAGCTATGTTAATTAAACAAAGACTTTGTAT